CGGAGGTAGAAACTGCCGGTCGAGGGAGATGCTGTCAGCGCTGTGGCACACAGGAAGGGCCAGGTCTCCAATGATGTGGCGAAGGTGGCGCAGGACAGGGTGGTGGTGGTGATGGCGGCGGAGGGCTGGGCGGCGGCGGCGAGGGAGGAGGCGGACTTGGCGGTGGCGGCGAAGGAGGCGGTGGTGCCGGCGGCGGAGGAGAAGGCGGAGGCGGGCTTGGCGGCGGCGGCGAGGGCGGGGGAGGCGAGGGCGGTGGTGGAGACGGAGGCGGGCTCGGAGGCGGCGGGCTCGGTGGTGGGGGTGAGGGCGGTGGTGGGCTTGGAGGCGGCGGCGACGGTGGCGGCGGGCTGGGCGGCGGCGGGGAGGGCGGAGGCGGACTTGGAGGCGGAGGGCTCGGAGGCGGCGGCGAGGGCGGCGGCGGCGAGGGTGGTGGTGGTGATGGCGGCGGAGGGCTGGGCGGCGGCGGCGAGGGAGGAGGCGGACTTGGCGGTGGCGGCGACGGAGGGGGTGGTGAGGGCGGCGGAGGAGAAGGCGGAGGCGGGCTTGGCGGCGGCGGCGAGGGCGGGGGAGGCGAGGGCGGTGGTGGAGACGGAGGCGGGCTCGGAGGCGGCGGGCTCGGTGGTGGGGGTGAGGGCGGTGGTGGGCTTGGAGGCGGCGGCGACGGTGGCGGCGGGCTGGGCGGCGGCGGGGAGGGCGGAGGCGGACTTGGAGGCGGAGGGCTCGGAGGCGGCGGCGAGGGCGGCGGCGGCGAGGGTGGTGGGGGTGATGGCGGCGGAGGGCTGGGCGGCGGCGGCGAGGGAGGAGGCGGACTTGGCGGTGGCGGCGACGGAGGGGGTGGTGAGGGCGGCGGAGGAGAAGGCGGAGGCGGGAATGCCGCAGGGGGGCGGGCTCAGTCTCGTGGCTCGGGCGTGTGTCCCGCGCGGCGTCGCGGCGTGCCGCCTCCGCAGAGTCGAGCCCGAGCAGCTCGCTCGCCTCGAGCAGCACCGGGTCGGCCAGCGGCTCGAACTCCTCCCGAAAGGGACGGCCGGAGGCGGGGCCGGAGGCGGGGCCAGAGCCGGGGCCGGAGCCGGGGCTGGAGGCGGCTGTGACGTGGGCCTCGAGCAGCCCGGCGTCGGGGTCGTGCCGCAGCTTGTCGTGCGGCAAGTTGTCGAGCACCTCGCGGCGACGGTCGGTGGCTTGGCCGGCTGGGACGGCAGGCCGCTCGCGCAGGCGGCGCGTGGCGGTAGCCCGTTTCTGGCAGGCGCGCGCGGGGCGAAGGAGGGAGAGGGGAGCGGCGCACCTCGAGCAGCAGCAGCGACCATGCGCCGGCCTGCGCCGCACGCGCCTACGCACCCCCTCGCGGGCAAGGTGCCTCGGATCAGCGTGCCGGACGAGCGTGCAGGGCGGCAGGTGGAAGAGAGGCTGCGCCTCGGGAGGCCACTCACCGCTGCTGGCGAGGCGGACGACCTCCGCCCGCTCTGGCGGCACGCCCGCGTCGCGCAGCCGCGCCGCCTGCACGCGCGCGAGACGCTCCGACGGCTCGAGGAGCCGGTAGTGGCAGCGGGCGTACTCATCGGGATGCGCTCTCGCCAGCCAGCCGAGCAGAGACAGCGCCGCTGTCCCTGTCCCGCCACCGACCTCGCAGATGCGCAGAGGCTCGCTCGGACCGTAGGCTTGGCGGTGCCGGCTGAGCATCGAGCGGCCGATCGCCTCCGCGTAGTGGGGCCGGAAGATCTCGACAGGGGTCAGCCACGCCTTGCCCTTGGCGTACACCGCGGCCAGAGACTCTCGATACTGACGCTCACAGCTCAAGCTGCGAAAGTCGAGCGGCGTGTCCAGGGTTGCGATGACTTCCTGGTTAAAGTATCCTGCTCGGCCGTCACCAACCAGCGCGCACTGGAGGTGTCGTCGGAGGAGCTGTCGAGCGGACATGCCGCAAAATGCGAAGAAAAAGAATTTGCTGGCGCAAGAAAAAGAATCGCCTGAGTGAGCCGCCACATTGCTGGGCTTCCGCTGGCTTGGTTTTGTGCCGACTCCCTTCCCCGCTGCCCGCGTCGGCGTCTGCGAGGTGCCCGCCGCCGCCCTCGCCGGCGGGTTGGCCTCGCGCAGCAACGCAGCGAAGCACAGCCACCGCACGGCATGCCACATCGAGCGGGGTGAGCGGTGACGCGTACACGCCTGCAACCCGCGGCCGCTCACCCTTCAGGATGGCGCGACGCAGCGCGGCGAGCTGGGCTGGCCTTTTGCAGGGGCAGCGCCAGCTGCTGACGGCGATGGGTGGGCACGCCGACTCGGCTGGGCCATCGCTCGAGCAGAGGACGACCTCCTCGATGTGCGAGAGGTCGCCGCCGCTGGCGAGGAGAGCCTCGAGCACCTCCACTCCTCGTGTACCCAGTCGGCGGGCATGCCTGGAGCAGCTGCTGATGCGTTGTGGCAAGTTATAGCATAGCGGGTCAGCAAGCCCTAAAACGGCGGGAGGGGTAGGGCTATATCGATAGAGCTAGAGGGCTCAACCACCCCTCCACCCCTCCACCCTCCACCCCTCCACCCTCCCGGAGCGAGAGGGGTCCGTCCTCGAGCCCTCCCACTTCCACCCCTCCGACCGGAGGGCTCGCCAGCCCACAGGGCTGGAGGGGTCCCCGTCGGATCGGCGTCGGGAGGGCTCCACAGGGTCCCATAGGGCTAGCGCGCTGGGAGGGTGGAGCGGTCCACCGGGGAGAGGGGTCAGGAGGGCTGGGCGAGGCGGGAGGGGTGGTGGGGTCCAGGAGGGCTGCAGGAGGGCTCGCCGCCCCCCCGAGCTCGGGTGATAGGCAAGAGGGCTCGGCGCCGGGTGGGCTCGGAGGGACGGTCGGACAAAGGGAGGATCTTCGTGGCGGGAGGGCTCGAGAGGGGTCGGAAGGGCCTCCGGGAGGGGTCGCAAAAAAAGAATGGCGCGGAGCTTCCGAGAGTGCCCGCCACGAGAGGGCTAGAGGGGTCGGAGGGGTTTAGAGGGCTGGAGGGCTGCAGGCCTGCTGCCGCCCATGGACGCGGGTCAACCGGCGACGGCGCCCGTGATCGAGGGACCGGCGACGGCGAATGAGCTGGTCTCTGCGCCGCACGACTTCACCCACGTTCGCGACTGTGGCCATCCAACAGTCTGCCGGCGCGGCGGGCGCATTCGAATGCGCCGGCCGCGCCGGCAGACTGCCAGTGCTATCCGGGCGGGCCTGCTGCGGCAGGGCGCTGCAACGCCGCCGCCTCGCCGCCACAGCAGCGCCGCCCCCGCATGCTGCCGCCAGCAATGTCGCCGCCAGCCGCCGCCCCCAGCCGCCGCCGCCAGCTGCCGCCAGCACTGCAGCGACAGCTCTCTCTGCTGCCCAGGCGCCGCCGCGGCCACGAGTGTCACCGCCACGAGTGCCGCCGCCGTCAGCGTCGCCATGGCCGCTGCCGCCGCCAGGCGGGCGAGCGAGGAGCTCCATATGAGTGTGTGTGTCTGGAGGCTGTGGCGCTTCCGTTTTAGCGGAGAAACCCCAGGTATTTCGAATACCAAACGCGCTTCGTGTTTGCCTTGAGGAGCGCAGCGACGAGTCCGTAAGGAGCGGCCCCAGCTTGCTGGGTGCGGCGCCGCCGCGCGCCGTATCGAGAGACTCTGTCGGGGCAGGTTAAAATAGCGCCGCAGGCTCCCCGGGCCGCCGTGTCCGCGCACAGACCACGGAAAAGCCTCATGATGTGTATTGCACCACTTCCGTATGCCTGCAGGGTATCTTTAACCGAGCCCTCCGAGCCCTCCACACCCCTCCACACCCCTCCGACCCCTCCGACCCCTCCGACCCCTCCGACCCCTCCGACCCCTCCGACCCCTCCGACCCCTCCGACCCCTCCGACCCCTCCACACCCCTCCGCGAGCCCTCCGAGCCCCCCGAGCCCTCCGACCCCTCCGACCCCTCCGACCCCTCCGACCCCTCCGAGCCCTCCGAGCCCCCCGAGCCCGGCTCGGTGGCTCGCCCCTCCGAGCCCTCCGGGCACTCCATCCCTCATGAGCCCTCCCGAGCCCTCCCGAGCCCTCCAGCGCCACCCTCGTGCCTCTCTGCCCTCCGACGCTCCGAGCCCTCCGAGCCCTCCGAGCTCTCCACCCCTCCCGAGCCCCACCCCTCGCGCTAGGGACCCTCTTGCCGGAACACCCTCCGAGCCCTCCAAGCCCCCCGAGCCCTCCAGACCCCTCCATCCGCACAGCCCCTCCGGCCCCTCTAGCCCCCTCCGACCCCTCCAGCCCTCTCTAGCCCACTGGACCCCTCCTACGCCTCGCTTTTGGCCAGCCCTCCAAGCCCCCACCCCTCCTGGGCCCTGCCGCCTGACACCTCTATCGGTGGAGGGCTTTAGGTCACGGTCCACACTCCCGCCCTCCCGACCCCTCCACACCCCTACAGCGGCACCCCTACCCCTCCCGCCGTTTTAGGGCTTGCTGACCCGCACTCAGTTATAGACGCTAGTATCGACCTCAGAGACCCAAACCCTAATTAATAATTAAGGCTCGAAGTATGGTTGAACAACCGTTGAACAAACAGGTTGAACAACGATATCCGACTAGTGCGACCGCTAGACGGCGGTCTCCGCCAGCCCCAAGGCTGCCCAGCCCCAGTACCACACCGGCCACGTGCACCGTAGCGCTGGGGTCGGTCAGTGAGGCACTAGACGGGCTACGGAACCATGCGCGCGCCGGCCGGATAGGCTGCGCGCAGGGGCCGCGCCGCCTCGATTTCGCATCTCCGCTCCGCGGCCGACTGAGGGGCCAGCTCGCCCGGCGACAAGCCCAGCCATCGCCCAGCGCCCCGTATCGACGGGGGGCACGCAAAAAACCCGCACCTACGACTAGGGTGAGCCCGTGAGGGCGTCGGTGTGGGCCGCGGGCATCGCCCAGCGCCCCGTATCGACGGAGGGCACGCAAAAAACCCGCACCTACGACTAAAAAAAACTCCGCCGATAACGATTGGGGTAGGGGCCCTAACTCGTGATAGGCCACTAGTTTCCCGCAGGAGACTCACCCTCTCCTCTCCTACCTCTTCTTCTGCCTCTGCGTCCTTCACGGACTCTCCGTGGACATCTTTTACTTCATCTTTTACGGAAGTTTGAACTTCCGTGCGTGTCGGGCGCTCCCGCCCGCTCGCTGCTCTGATGAGCGCGGCTTCCGCTGCTCTCTCCTGCTCACCTGGCCATGACGCCGCTCCTCGTCCTTGGCCGCGCCAGGCTCTCCTTCCTACTGCGCCAGCCCTTCGGCTGCACCAGTTCTTTCTTCTCCGTGCAGGATCTGTGCGTCTGCGCCATTGTTGCTGTTGCTGGCGACTGTCCTTGGCAGCAGTGCACGATGGGCGATGGCCTCATCTGCTTGCCTGCGATGCTCTGCGGTCGCCTCGGCTCTGCCACAGCGGCCTCGTCCACCTGGAGACCTGAGTCGGTGGCTCCACAGCCCGCTCTGAGGAATGCTGTTGCATCTCAACTCGTGGCGTGCCTCTCTCTTCTCTCCGGCCTCGTGCTGCAGATGTGGCTGAGCTCTGCGCTCAGGTGGCTCTGGGATATCTCCTTTCCAGGCAGCACCCCAGTGCCGCCTCGTGGGCGGCGTGGCGGGCGGCCAGCTGTCACTGCTGCCTTCCCTCTCGAGTGAGCCTCGCCTCGCTCCTCTTCTACTCGAGCCTCGTCTCGTGTGCCTCCTCGTGGGCGGCGTGGCGGGCGGCCACGCGCTCCTTGGTAACGGGGGTCGAGTTTTTTTTTGCAGCACCTACGACTAGGGTGAGCCCGTGAGGGCGTCGGTGTCGGCCGCGGGCGGGCTGCGAGGAGGGCGCGGGTGGGAGCATGGGAGATGCACCACCGCTCGACGAAGACGCGCCCGACGACGCCCTGCTTGCGGAGGATGGTCGATCCTCACCTACTAGCGTCGGGCGTGTGCGATCAGTAACCAGCCTCCGGCGGGGCCCCCCGCTACCATCCAAACCCGAGTACAAAGCGCCTCTCCGAGAGCGCTGCGCAGACGGTCTACTTACGACTAATCATAGAGGCTCACAGGTCATGCAAAATAAATCTGAGTTTTATTCCGCGGTGTACACGGAAGGGCAGCCACAATGGCTGGCGAAGACAGCCCTCCTGCCCCGATCTTCACCTCGACGCCGCTCGAAGGCCCGAGCTCCGGACGCCAAACGGGCCGGAACGAGCCGAGGCTGGGTGGTCCGGATGAGGATTCGATCGGCGATGGACCCGTACGAGCGGGTTCTGAGCTGTACTGTGGGGTCAACGGCGTCGTTTGGGCGTCAGGTGCGCGCGCCCGCCGTTTGCCCGCAGAACTCCGTGGAATCGCCCCGTACCCCGCCGCACTCGCGTCGTATCGTGAGCTGTGCCTGTGCTGGCCCGGTAGGCCGCGCGCCGACCGTGGCCAAAGAGCTGGCAGAGAGTGCTGCCCTGTCCTCTCTGGCCTCATACAGCGCCGCCCGCTGCACGGCTCAGCTTCTGACCCGCCAGGCGCTCGTCAGGCGTGCGGAGGCGATCCTCTTCGGCTTGGACCAAGCGTACCAGCCCTCCGGGCTGCCGCGGGTCGCCCCAGTGGTCACCTTCCAGCTGATGGAGTGTGCAGATGATGCCATTAAGGCGCTCTTCGCCGCCGACGGAGCCGGCCTGAAGGGAAAGGTGTCCAAAAAGAAGGCGCTCGCGCAGCTCCTGTGCGACATGGTCGGCGCGCCGATGCTGTCGCCGGAAGAGGCCGAGGCTGCGGGCGCGCGCGTCTCCACCCGGCTCGTCAACATGGGCAAGGAGGATGCGGCGGCCGCGAAGGCGGAGGCGCGGGCGGCGCGCGGCAGCGACGACGCTGCGGTGGCGGCGGTACTGGAGCGCGTCGTCGGCATGCTGGAGCGGCGCGGCGCCATCTACTCGGGCTTCCTGCCAGAGACGAGCACGCCTCCGCCGCCGCCTCCCGCCCCGACGCCCCGTGGCATCGAGGGGTGGGAGGAACGGGCCTTTGTGCGGCGGGTGATGGAGAGCGGCGGGAGCGGCGGCCGCGCCCCTCGCGACCCGCTCGCCACCGAGTACTTGGTGGGCCGCATCCGCGAGCTCGAGAAGCGGGTGGAGGAGCTCGAGTTTAAGGTCAAGGACGCCGACGACCACAGCAAGTCGGTGCAGGAGGTCTCGATTCTGCGGCAGGCCGAGGCGCAGGAGTACTGCCGCAAGGCCGCGATGTCGGCCGAGGACGCCCACATTCTCCTCGAGCTGGCGTCTCGCTGCGGGAAGAGGATCCACCAGGCGTACGTGCAGATGGCGGAGACGGCCTTCAGCCGCGACGCGTGGGAGGAGGACCGCGCGATCAAGAGCGATTGGCTTGACGCCCTGGAAGACGTGTCGCACTTTAGGTTCCTCTGGGCGCCCTCCGCCCTGAGGTATTGGTCGGGAATGGAGGAGGTAGAGGAGAGTTACACCGCCCTGAGGGAGAGGCTGGCTGCTGCGCTGGATAAGCCGTTCACTCGCGTGGATCTTGGCTCCCTTCTGCCGGGTTGGGAGTGGCAAGACCCCGAAACCGGGTCGTGGGACGGTGTCCCGCCGGGGTCCGGGGAGCGCGTTTGAATGGCCACTGTGGACCCTGAGGTGGCTTGTGAGCACCATGTGTGTTGTTGTTATGCTAGATACAGCCCCTGGCCCAGTTGAAACAGGCTCAGGCGCGTCTAACGGACGTCAGTGTACCGATGTGTACACCTTTTGGTGACACTCAGGGCCCGTTTTGCATGACCTGCAAGTGCGACAAGTCCACACACATAACATGCGACACGGGTGCCTGCCATACACAAAGCATTACTCTCACGACACACGGGCACCGGAGCGGCGGCAGCGGCGGCAGCAGCACACGCGGGCGGACGGATTCGGACGGGGCGGAGCAGCGACCGCCTGGGCGGCCGCTGCTCTGTCTGCCGAGCGCGGTCAGGTGCAGGGAAGCGTGGCGGCGCGGGGAAGCGCCGCGGCGGCGGCGGCGGCGGCGGCGGCAGCGGCACGCGCGGGCGGACGGACTCGGACGGGGCGGAGCAGCGACCGCCTGGGCGGCCGCTGCTCTGTCTGCCAGAGCGCGCCGTCTGCGCAGCGCGGTCAGGTGCAGGGAAGCGTGGCGGCGCGGGGAAGCGCGGCGGCGGTGGCGAGCAGGCGAGCGGCCCG